TTTTTTTTTTTTTTTTTTTTTTTTTTTTTTTGTAAGATTGTTAAAAGAGTTTTCTAATGATACCAAGATGACCGTTAACTTTTCATGCTGCTATACAAGTTCCTCACTGCACTGTTCTTTTCAGTGTATATTCAGGACACATACAAAACAACTTTAGTTTACCAGGGCAGGTGGAGTGGAAGTGAGGCTTTCCACAGGCGTTTCACACTGAACAAAAAAGTCGCTTCAGTTTGGGATTTTGTTTCCTATTTGTGCAAACCATTGTAGTTTCTGTAGAAATTTTATCATCTTAACCAGAAAAAACAATAATGAAGTTTCTGGAGAGGCAGGGAGAAATGAAAACCCGATCGCCGGAGGATTGCTCTGAACTGTAAGGTGCAAAAGCTCTGCCTCTGCTGGGGTTATTTCTCTTTTCTACATTATCTTGATGAAATCCCAGGGGAAACTCTCCCTGTGTGTATTTGGGGTGTGCATTCTACTGAGCCCATTCTTCCAGTTCTTCCAGTTCCTATTAGCACAAAATCTCCACTATACACTCATTATTTATCTTTTTTATTGCTCTTGTGCTGGAATATTCTTCTGCTTTCTTCTGGATGGTTTATTTAGGCTCGCTCTGATCTCCATTGCTCCAAAGCATTTCCCTATTTGTGCTCTGTATTGAACAACATGTTAAATATCCCTGTTATCAAATGAGATTTCTAAACTGAGATCCCTGACGATAGTTGATGTGTAATAATATAGCTGTGGTTCTTCCTGAAGCAATTTAGGAGATGCCACATCTGTGAATTACAGTGTTTTCCACTTCTACCATACATCTTCCCCAGCTCTGTATGATACCAAGCTCTTTGCAAAACCTTACCTGTCGATGGAGAATATAGTCAGATTATATTACAGCAGCTTCAGCATTTCATTTTCTTTTAAAAATACTGTTCATTATTAAGTGAAATTTGGTTCTATCATCACTGAAATGGTTCAAGATTCAGTCTGCCACATCAGCTCTGTGCTAGACTACGTGCTAAGAATGCACTGGTTGTGGAAATTCAGCTGTTCCTGGGATGGCAGTAGCTGTGGTTCGAAGAAAAGAATAACAGAGTTCAAATACAGAACATATTATTTGGGAGGGGTAGAGGAAAATAAACCTATTTTTTCTGTAAGTAGTTTTTCTGCGACGTTTTTTGAGAAATCACCTTAAATTTAACTTCCAGTGGTAATACAAAAATAAGAAC